TTTTGGCAACAATGTAGAAGTGATCTGTTAATGCTTACTTCTATACAGGCAGTTCCAGGGCTTTTTTTCTCAGAGAAAAGGTGGTGGAACTCACCTCCCTCCCCTGGCCACGCCCCCACCCAAACCTGGCCCCGCCCTCCTCTGCTCCAGTCCGCCTGCTGATTGGCGCCCGAACGGCAGCATGTTGGCCAGCGTCCTCTTCTCCGCCTTCAGCTTTTGCTCTGAGAAGCCGCGCGCGTTTGGCTTTGAGGGCGCCGGCGTGAGAGCCTCTGGATTCTCTGCCGCTTCTTGCTCGGGCAGGGTCGCCTAGGAAACGGGCCAGGGGCGCGCCGACCGAGCCTCCCTATGGCCGCGGTTGTGAGCCAGGCAGGGGCAGAGAGCTGCGAGTGCGAGCGCGACCCCCAGATGTTGCGCCCGGTGCGGCCGGCCCGGAAAAAGGTGCCGGAACGCGGTTCCGCCGCGTTCCGGCTGAAAAAAAGCCCTGGGCAGTTCTCAACTTACACCAGTTCATTTAGTGACCGTTCATATTTAAACAGCACTGAAAATATAAGTCACATAACGGTGACTTATGACTGTTTTCCCCACTTATGACCATTGCAGCATCCCCATGGTCAAGTGATCAAAATTCAAACTTTTGGCAACTGACTCATATTTATGACGGTGGCAGTGTCCTGGGGTCCTGTGATCCCCTTTTACGACTTTCTGACAAGCAAAGTCAATGGGGAAGCCAGATTTACTTAACAACTGTGTTACTAATTTAATAACTGCAGTGATTCACTTAACAACTGTGAAAAGTTGTTTCACAGTTGAAGTCGTAAAATGGGGCAAAATTCATTTAACAATTGTCTCGCTTAGCAACAGAAACGTTGGGCTCAATTGTGGTCATAAGTCAAGGACTACCTGTATTTTTTTTTAAAAAAAAAAATCCCAACTCTGTGATGGCCTGGTGGTCTCCCATCCAGTTACTAACTTGCTCCACCGTTGCAATTGTGTTTGGTTTTAAAGATCAGCCAAAGTATTGCGTTTATATACAGCCTGAAACAGCTCTCCTTTGTTAAAAATGTCACAATTGTGAAACCTTTATTTGAGACCCATTTCCCCTACCTTCAGCCAGCTCAGAGGCCAAAAAGTCTTGTCGCATAATCACCTGTTCCCACAGCCTTAGCAAGTTTCCCTCGGTTTCAATCTCATTAAATGCAATTCTTGTCCATTTTGTTAAGGATTAACGCTTGACTCTGTCACACTCGTTATAGAGAATGGGCATTAATTATGCCACAATTGTTTTCCAGCAGGGCAAGGAGAATGGCAAGGCTGAAGCAAAACTTGGCAGCTAGGTCACCCTCCTGACCTGCAGTGTAAAGCATCCTTCTGTGGATTTCCTGTGTATCTTCAAATGGGTTGCAGGGAGCCACAAAGTGTGCTTAAAGCGCCTGGTTCCTTTCAGAATGAGAGATCTGGACCAGAACGCTAGCTGTGCTGGCTGGGGAATTCTGGGAGTTGAAGTCCACACATCTTCAAGTTGCCAGAATTTGGAAACGCCGGTGTAGACACTCATTTTCTACTATTAAGTCCCCTCAAAACCTGAGCCAAGAAGATGCTACATCAGTGGTGGCGAACCTATGGCATGGGTGCCAGAGGCGGCATTCAGAGCCCTCTCTCTGGGCATGCGCGCGGTCGCCCCAGTCCTAGGCCTTCAGCTGGGTTTTATAAAACCTTTTCGCTTTAGGCCTTCACTGCCGCTGTGTGCAAAAAAAAAAAAAGGTTCAATCAATCAGTCAATTTCAACTTCTCTTGGGGAAAAAAAAGATCTTGCAAAGTTGGAATTGATTGATTTAACTTTTTAGTCCCATCCAGTCTGCCGTTACCACTGCAGCCACGCCCACCCAACGGGCCACGCCCATCCAATGGGCCACACCCACCCGGCACCCAACGATGCATAAGTGGGTTTTGGGTTGCAGTTTGGGCACTCGGTCTCTAAAAGGTTCACCATCACTGTGCTACATCATTTTTGTTTCATAGTGTTAATGAATATAAGTAGTCCTCGAACTTGCAACAGTTCATTTAGTGACCGTTCAAACCTGCAACGGCACTGGAAAAAGCGACCTTTGACCGTTTTTCAGAGTTATGACCTTTGAAGCATCCCCATGATCATGTGATCAAAATTCAGACGCTTGGCAACTGGTTCCTACTTACGACCGCTGCTGTGTCCCACGGTCATGTGATCCCCTTTTGCGACCTTCTCACAAGCAAAGTCAACAGGGAAGCCAGGTTCACTTAAGAACCAGGTTAGTAACTTATCTGCTGCTGTGATTCGCTTAACATTTGTGGCAAGAAAGGCTGTAAAATGGGGCAAAGCTCACTTAAAAAATGTCTCACTTAACAACAGAAATTTGGGGCTCAATTGTCATCGTAAGTTGAGGATTACCAACACGACAACAATAATGATGTTGGAAGGGACCTTGGAGGTCATCTAGTCCAATCCCCTGCTCAGGCAGGAAACCCTATACCAGGGGTAGGCAACCATGGCTCTTTTATGACTCTTGGACTTCAACTCCCAGAATTCCTGAGCCCACATAGCTCAGCTTGGAAACCTCTCTCTTTCCCCTCAGCATGGCTGGCTCAGGAATTCTGGGAGTTGAAGTCCACGGGTCATAAAAGAACCAAGGTTGCCTACCTCTATTTATTTATTTATTTATTTATTAATTGCATTTATATCCCGCCCTTCTCCTTTCGGACTCAGGGCGGCTGACAAATGATAAAAAACTAACATACATATACCTAGTTAAAATTTAATTAAAACGAAATATTAGAGAATGTCCAATTAAAAGTAATTAAAACCCCTATAAAATCCCCTAGGCCAGTCCCGCTTGCTGGAACAACCACGTCTTGAGGGCGCGGCGGAAGGAAGGGAGATCAGGAATCACCCTGATCTCTGGGGGCAGTTCGTTCCAGAGGGTGGGAGCTCCCACAGAGAAGGCCCTCCCCCTTGGGGTCGCCAGCCGGCACTG